TTGGAAAAGCGGGATTTTGCATAACTTTCATTTGCTCTAAGAAAATAAACGAAAGGATGCACTCCATTTTATTCAGTAAAATAATGAAAAACTGAATGGAATCAATAAAAATTGTCGTTGTTTCAACATGATATTCATCAACATGCTCAGGCAAGTGTAAAGGACAGTGCTATGAGCCATCATCTGGTGCTTTCTATATTTCAAACCAGAGATGAAACTGATTCAATCGGCAAGGTGAACTTCTTTCTTTTATCGTGCAATGAGATGAAAAGAGCACATTGAGCAAAATGTAGTGATGATAAGCGTCCGTGTATCTGAAGAGTAGATGTCTACATATGCCTTATCAGGCGAGTTTTCAAAGCAGTTCAATTGTTTCTTAAACTGTGAATCCCATTCGGGTTCAATCAACCACTAAAAAAGTTTTCTTTCGATATAGTATGAACGAGTTAAAAAAATAGTTCTGTTTAGCACTTAACGTAAAAATTGTTTTATACTAATGTATCTGCCGATCAGAGAATGATTTTTCCTACTATGTCCCCAACTTTGGTAGTTTCCTACCCTTTGGTTTTCGTTCTTTCGGTTGGTTCTAACTCTCGGATATTTAATACGGTCGTCAGAGAATAAATACATCATGTTCAAACCATAATATTCACTTTATGGAGTCTTAGTTACAGCAAATAGATCTGCAGAAAACAAAATCAAAATGTTTCCCACATAGACTATGTTGTTATCAATTTTCTCCAGATCTGTTGATGTAGATCGTCCTCTCATTGTTTCTTCTTTCTTAACGCAAAAACTTACCTTGAATTTCAGTGTTCCCTAGTTCATTTTGAAGAGAATTGTTTATTCTATTTGAATGTATAATTCAATTTTTGGGAGAAGATGTGCATAGCGTTCAAAAATTCATTCAGATACAAAATAAGAACTTCCAAAAAATGAAATTTTCAAAGCATTTAAACCTATGGATTGTCATTGCTTAGACATTAAAATAACCTGATTTTTGTTCAGCATTTTTTTGCTCTTTTGATGTGTGCTAAATTTAAAAATTAAATAACCAAAATATTGAAAACACCGAAACTGCAACACCAAACAAAATTTAGAGCGCATTAGGAGAATGATTCCAAAGGCTAAAAATTTGAACTTCTAAGTAACTTTGGATGGAGATTCCAAAAACTGATACGCGAAAAGAGAAATCTTTTTTTGACTCTTATTAAGGCCTATTTTGGTACCCTTGTGAATTAAAATTCTTCCATTTACTGTCATATTTCACTGCCACATTGACTGAATCAGTAACTGCCATTTTCTTTGTCACATCATTTCTACTCACGAGGGAGATTTACCAACTTGAAAATTGCTTTTGAGACGAAACCTAGTGGGTGATATGTAATCGACCATGCTGATCCCGAATATCGACATGAGACGGCAGTTAGGTCTCCAAAGACCCGTTTTCGGGAAAACCAGTTTTTCAGAAACTCTGAAAACGTAACCAAAACTTTTCTTAATAAGGTCTGATTGTAGTCCACAAATTTCTGATAAAATGAGGCATCTACCAGCTCTGGACGACCTTTCTTTACATAGTTATAGAATTTACAAGAAAAGCCCTAAATGTTCGTTGTCAGGTCAAGACTACAGAAATAAGGAAAATTCATTTAGCGCTTTTCTTGTAAACTCCATAACTTTGCAAAGAAAGGTCATATAGAGCTAGTAGATGTCTCATTTTAGTCGGAAATTTGCGAGCTACAATCATGCCTCATTAAGAAAAGTTTTGATTATTTTTTAGAGTTTCTAAAAAAATGGTTTTCCCGAAAACGGATCTTTGGGGGCCTAACTGCCGGTCTCATGTCGATATTCAGGATCAGCATGGCTTCAGGCAGCATTAGCTATCATCCACTAGGTTTCATCTCAAAAGCAATTTTCAAGTTGGTGGACCTCCGTCGTCAGTTTAAAATGGTATAAATCAACAACGAGAGAACATAGTCTTTCGTATACTTTATTTTGGCTGTTTGAGCGAAACGTATGAGCGTAGCCGTGACACAGTTATACCCATTTAAAAATGTTAGACTTGTTTATGATATACAGTCGAAGATCTGCAATGGATTTAGCAATAAAGACAAAATTTCTGACTATTTGAAATCAGGACTCTTTTATGAAGTTACTTGTTCCATTTGTGCCGATAGATATGCCGGTAAGACTTACCGTCATTTAACCACAAGGGTTAAAAAACATTTGACTGATCAAAAGAAATTGTTATCAACGTATTCAACTGTATCGACTATTCGCTCTCGAGTTGCGAAAACGTATAAACCTCAGAAAAGAGACCAATTACGCGATCGCAGACCGGCAAACTGTCACGATTATTGTCAGAAATAAATCTTGATGAAATAGATGATCTCATTGCTACATATTCAAATCTAAAAAGTAATATAAATGAACAGCCATACACCGCCAAATCAGCTTTTTGCAGACACTATATATCAACTGGTCATACTATAGCAGCGGCTGATTTTCGAATCATTACGACAGAATAACATAAGTATCGTTTACTAGCAAAAGAATCATTACTTATACGTGCACCTACACCAAAACTAAATGATTCCGATCGTTCGATACCTTTGTACGTTTTTCCAAATGGTATCGATAGAAATTCGATTAGAAGTTTATATAGCGACAAACGTTTTGTGCCACCGACAAGTTCAATGAAATAGATGTTGTTTAAGTTTTTATAACTATAATGTCATGTTTTGTGAAGTGGAGTATCGTCATTCTTTTCGTCATGTAAGAATATAAAGGATAAAAAGTCTAACATAGGTTGCTTTTTTGCTATTATTGTTAAATTCTTGTTTGAGAATGGCCGTTTAGGACAACATACCACAAAGGAATAAATATGATTAAAAATTTCAAAACAGCCGCAATTATAACCGCTTATTGTCAAAAATCATTGCCCTTATACTCAGAAAATGTCAAACATGACGCTTGTGATAAGCAAGCTTCGTTTCGCAGATATTGACTTGTCGAATTGAATGAGAACAAACTTAGAACTACTTTTTTAGAGAGTAATTCAAGATGAATGAAACCCTGAAAGTCGTTTTAGGACTTTGTCTGTCTAACTCAGACACATTTTCGAAAAAGAAAAAACGTCGAACGCTCAGCAGAACAAGTTTTAAGGTGAGAGAACGTGTACTTTTTCTCAAAATCCGCTCGAATTTAGTATTAGAAGATAAAAACTAGTGTCGCTACGATAAAGAAAAGTGATAGGAAGCGAGGCAATTTTTTAATATTTCCTGAAAAGAAAAAAGTGTCTCAAATTTCGATGATTGGATGCGTTTGAAAATTTGTCAGTTTTTGATCCTCTATAGCTAGAAAGTTGGGATTTTCAGGATCGACAGGGAATTGGATAAACATGCCGACAGGGAAGAGATTTGAATTCTATATCAGGTCCTTCAAAATGTTACCACAGTCACAACAATCAACGCGATTTTACCTCATATGAAAACTACTCACATGTTTATTCGCAAGACTGCAACATTCGGATAGGATATGTCGAGAAACCTTTTCCACCTAAGTTTGAGCTTGAAGGCAGATAAAACGTTCCTCTCGAAATTATTGCCTGAGGTCCTCCTCAGATGTTTTGCCTAAAATTTTGGACGAAAACTTTTTTTTCGAAACACATCAAATTATATATCATCCGATGCAGTTGTTCTCGTATATCAAACGATTATTTTGCCTTTTTAAGCAAACATTAGTGAAGTGCTTCAACTTTGTTTCTTATTCTCATAAAAGTAAAGCAAAAGCAAAAGTGGTACCTTTCCTTATCATTGAATAGCTTTGCAAGTAGAATTTCTTTACTGCTCTACAAAAACGGTACACAGACGATATGGACTTTGTTATTTTATTTTTAAATTCATTTCTGCTTGAATCGAGAATTGCATAAGAGAAAAAATTAATAATATTTCATTTCGTTCAGAGCATGGACACTTGTACTCTTACTTTACAACAATAGTGGTACTTTGCAAAGTACCACAAGCACATGTGCTTGTAATTTAAATATATTTCTAGTACTCAAAGTACTTTGATTCCTTTCAAGAGTAGTTTCGCAGTGCCTATAGCTAGTTCAACCATAATGTGTCAATGAGCTAATACCTACGTCCAAATGCGTTTTGTTACGGTTTGTTCATCTTTTTTGTTGAAAAAACATTTCTTCAGTGAAGTTGTTGTCTCATTAGCAATACACTGTTCAGAGTACTTTAATTATAGATGCAAAATTCAATAAACTGGTAAAAATTTAATAATTCATACTCCACATATTTTCAAGAGACGTCAGCCCATCGCGGTTTAGAAACTGAGGTCGCACAAAAAGATAAAATCCATCCAAAATCAAATTTAAGATTATTAAAACATTTAACTCAATTTTTCTCAAAATTTCCGTTACACTGGAAAGAGTATTACGCTCAGTAGCCCATTTGGCACCTAAGGAAGAGTTTTGTCAGCAAAACATTTTCCCCATGGTGGTTTGTTGAGCCACCATCTGTGGTATGGTTCTTAAAAAAATACTACTGTCCTTCCCCGAATATAACGTCGATAGTTGTTTTCTGAATAACCCAAAGACGATAAAAGGTAGAGACGTGCGGTTTTCGGTAGTCGAAGGCAGACAGTTTAAACTATATTTTCATTAGCAAAAACGTTTTTTGAACAAATTTCTGAAAATGATTCTCGATCAAAGTACACTAGAATCACGTTTATATAATTAGTTTTGATTGAACAGTTAAGTTTTTTAGAACAAGCCCAGGGATTAAATTTTTTGCTAAAATTTTATCTTAATTAATTTATAACTCTGTGAATACTTGTCGGTTTCTTAGAAACACTAAACTTATCGGCTTCTTTTCTTAGAAATACTACACTTGCATGACTTCTAATAGTAGAGCAACATCTTTCACTGTTTTACCTATAGCGCCAACAGAATCTTGTAAATGTGAAATAGGTACAACACCTGAGCGTGATTTTTAACCTACAGTTGGTTTTATTTCAACTGTTGCAGCAAGATTCGATGGACTAATTATACTTCCATCGGTTTCCGTTCCAAGTGTACCGGCACATAAACCGGTTGATGTTGCAATGGCCGAATCAGAGCTTGATTCACATGGATCACTATTTTTCACATAAGCGGAAAATGAGAGACCGCCACGAGCGGACTATCCTTGGCGTGTTACATTTATGACATGAAAATTAGCCCATTTCGCTAGATTTGCTTTTCCACATATGATTCCACCCGATTTTCTTAAACGACAACTTCAGCATCATAGCTTGAAAAGCTAATTCCGAATGATGTATCGTGTGATTATTTTCAAAGAACTCTTGATTTGGAAATAAAAATGTAAATCCATGAACTGTCCCTAATCGTCATTAATTAGGATTAATTAATGATTAATATATACCCCGGCATATCTTTTTCTGAAATATCTTAAATGCGACCATAACTAAAAGTAATTCTCGATCAAAGTACACTAGAATATTATCTTTAACTAAAATAGGTATGCCATCTAATGGACTAGGTGAACCTTGTTGCTTTCGTTGGTCATGTAATTTTCGTGCTATTTTTAATGCATCTGGATTTATTTCAATAACAGCACGCAGTTCATGATTGACTTCTTTTATACATTCCATATACCAGTGAACTAATTCGCATGCTGTTATATGATGAGAACTGAGAGTTTCTTTTAAGTCGAAAATGTTTACTGTCAAGAAATCAGTACCATTAGTAGTGGTTGATGATACTAAACTTTTTATCACAAGAAAGAGAAGGACAAAAAATATTTTCTCCATCAAGGACGTTCTGCAAAATCTCTAGGCGCACGTAATCAAATGTCGGGTGTATTTTGTTTTTCGATTAAACACACATATTCTGATTCGCCGGAATCTGCCGATCACGAATCTGACCTCATTTTTTCGTTTTGATTGAGTTTTCAGGGCGAAAAATGCAAAATAGTGAAGAACGCTGGAAAACCTCGAAAAAGCGACTTTTACAAAAATCGGCGACAACGTCATCATCATTCAACTTTTCGATTCCGTCGATGTGTTTTTCGGATTCTATGACTCAAACTGGATATTGTCTAGCTTATAATAGTGCACATCGTATAATCTGTGGGAACTTTTTAATCAGTGATGCTCCGTTTTCGCAACCTAATTTTTGCACTATATGCAAGCCTCACAGTGAAGAGCTAGCGCTTTTCTTCGTACGTCATTCGAATTGTCATGTTGCGCGCTACAAACTAATGTTTCGTTTTTTGGAAAAGAATGCAAAAAGCGACATCTTCAGGTGGCATATCACGTCTAGACATTTTGCAGAAGGCTGCTCACCACCCAAAAGTTTCGAATTTGTGAAGAGAATCAGAATATGTGTGTTTAATCGAAAAACAAAATACACTCGACATTCGAATTACGTGCGTCTTACACACATACCTTAGGTGCTAAAAGCAAAAGTAAAAAAATGAAAACATTTTGTTGTTTTTCTGATAGGGATACCATCTGAAGATAATTGATTTTCGATTGTTCTTTCTCATTTGGGCGAAATTCATGTCCTGGTGGAAACAGCTTTATTTTGTGAATCTTGTTTTAATTCAAAAATAACGGTTGAATTTGCTCTTACTGTAAATTTCGTTTATTTCAGAGATGTGTGTATAGTTTATAAATGAGGATTTCATATAGAATCTACAAAAAAATGCCCAGAATTTTATAAACGTTAAAAAGTGGCCATCTATTCTCCATAAAATCGTGATTTCCCTAACCGGAAACTTAAGGGTTTCAAAATCCTATAAGTTTCTTTTTAACTCGTATCATCGGATAGAGCGTTTTCTTTACAGGCTTCCAGATTAAGGAATGAGTTAGTTACAAACAGTTTAAAATTACGATACGAAAGATTTAAGTTCTCAAATACACACAGATTTTTTTTGATGTAAATAGCCTCTCCGTGCGTTTTCGTTGACATTCCGTAACAAAGGAGTGTAAAATTTCGGAACAAGTGAAGCCCCGAAAATACCTCATTTTGTGCAGGAAAAAACGCTCTATCCGATGGTATGATTCAAAAAGAAACGTATAGGATTTTGAAGCCCTTAGGTTTCCTACAAAACCAAAAAATGTTGGACTTTGGTTAGATCCCGTGTCAGCGTTTAAAAAACTTTTAAATATGATATTCTTGTTCCGAATTGAATTCTCTATCGAAAGAGGTATGTCTGCACGTATGCGCTACCCCTTCGTGTAATCATGATATACCGCCCATGAAAATACCCAACGTATCTCTTCGGTCACACCGCACCTCGTTCCAGTCACTTATCTACAAGTCAGTTTATTTATTTATTAATTTTCTATACTAAGTGAAGCCCTAAAATCCTTCTTGGGACTAACTTAGCCTTTTACAAGAAAGCCAACTTTCTTAACTCATAGCTTCATCGTAAATCATGCCACAATGAGTCAAACGCTGCCTTCATCCTGGTCGTCAGGAAGAAAATCCCAAACTAAGAAAAGAGAGAAATTGAAATTAGAACACCATAAACAGAATTTAGCTTTTAATTTAGACCAGTTGTCGAGTGATACAGCAGAGACCGTACCGCGCGTCATTTCAGTCGAATTACTGGCAAGTGATTCAGAGACTTAACTTAGTATACAGCACTCCCGCTCATCTGTCAAAGATAACCTAAATAAAATATATGATATCGTCAATTTATCGTGCATTAAAGATTCGTAGGTCTTAAATCCGTAATAAAAAACTGTGCGTGCACTCATCTTTCAAATCTGCCTTTTAACTTCAGGCACATAGCGATGTAGTTGGAAGAAAGTCTTCATACATCATAGGAAAAGTTAAGACCTTGAGTTCTACCATTGGATTCAGCATGTAAATTGCTTCAGACGATGTGTCTCGTCGTTTGTGCCAAAAGTCGATGTAATGGTGGTAGGTATCATATGGAGTAAGCCTTTCTCTTTACATGAAAGTTTCATTGAAAGCAATACGGTTATTTAGCTTGCAGCATACTGTCATATTTATTTCATATATTAGTTACTCAGCACATTTCTGAAGTAGGAAAATGAAGAACTGCTACATCGCCTGTGATAAAATTATATCAGATCTTTATCGTGTCTTTCGAGGTTTTTTGCCCACAAGAATTTAACACAAAACGTATGTAGTTATATTCTTATAAGTTTTATATTCGCCCTTCTCCATAATAACTTTCAATATTTTTTGGTTTGTTTTAGACACCAGATCATAATTTTCGAAAGGTCGATTTAATAACTTCATTATTAAATTATGCTTCATCGTACACATCTGTTGTACCATCACTACCATACTTTCTTCTCAATCTTTGTATTCATTCTTGTCATCCGTTATCGTATTCATGTAAAGTCATTTCTTCAATGGCAATAGACTTGATGTGTTGAATACCATGTGTGCTTATCTTTAGTTACATGATCATTGACTAACATTGATTGTGTTTCGCACAAGACAAATTGATTTAATTTAGATTGTTTTTACCACACTCGACATTTTGGTTATTTCCTACCACTTTAAATTATTTTATCATTGTCAGTAATCAATTTAACTGTATAATATGGAAATCTACCACGTGGTATTTTTAAGAAGTTAAGAACAAGAAAATAACGTAGTTGTGAACGGAAACTGAATGCAAATCAGATACTTGTACCACCTTTTTGAACGAGAACCATGCTGAGGTCATTATACTACTAACACTGTATATTCTATTTCGCTGTTGTACCGAGATATTATAATCGGTCTTGCTGGTTCATGGGAAAAGATTTCCATGTATCTTTTCCGATCCAAAACTTATTATGTTATTCATGACTCGATGTAACTCGACCCGCTGATTATGACCTTACGTTTTTTTAAAAGTGCATCTGGTCTGAGAAATATAATTTTTACCTGAAATACCACGGTTTTTTGGCAAAACCTAAAGCTAAAGACTGGAGAATAGTTGCATAAAGTTGCATTCACCATAGATGCAGATAATGTTGGTGAATCTGTGAGTATCACATGTCCTTAATCTAGACACTTTCAGCTATTTATCAGTCAGAAAACGTTTCTAGATTTTGACGTAAGATATAGTGGTTTAATTGCGCTCAGAATTATACCAAAATATTTACATACATTATCTATATCTATGAGGAATGCAACTTTATGCAACTATTTTCCAGTGTTTAGCTATAGATTTTTGAAGAAAGTGTGGTTTTTCAATTAAAAATTATATTTCTTAGGCCAGAAGAACTTTTTAAAAACGCGTAAGGTTATATTCAGAATCAGTGCGTCGCGTTACGTGGAATCATACGTAACACAATAAGTTTTGGATGGAAAAAATATCCATGGAAATCCTTTTCCATGTACCAGCAAGACAGATTTTTGGAAAAGATGATTTTTTCTAAAAACCTTTATTTTTACTTTAATAGTATCAGAGATGATTAAGCAATAATAATTATTCATGAAAGTATAATATATAAGCAAAATATTCTGATGTCCGCCTGCTTTTAGAAAAATGCCCATTGTGCATAGTTGGTGACAGTGTATGTTTAGTTGAAGGCTTTTTTATTACACTCTTTTGTTACCATTGATCAAAACCCGAATAAAGTGTAAGAGATTTTGTCTGAATATACCAGGATGCTAATGAATGTTTTGCGTGTTTAGTTCAGCGTCAAAAATGCTATTATTCTGGTAAGAAGAACATTGTATCAGTACAATATTCATTTGTACCAGAGCTCCGCACAGACTCAACATTCCGAGTCCAGTCCAGCCGAGTCCGGTCTGAGTCCTTGAAAAACAGTTTTTCCCGTCATTGGACTCTCAAATTGTAGCCCGGTCCACAGTACAAAAACAAACTGGGTTTTACTGATTTTTTCTCGATTCAAGTGAGCCCCAAATTTTTTCGTAGTCTTGACTAGTCCATCGTCGTGATAGTTTGTGTACAATCCAGTCCGAGTCCATGAACTCAAAACATTTCCAACCCAATGGATTGGACTATGGACTCAGTTCAGTCCATATAGAGCTTTGATTTGTACGTCTGACAGAAAATTTATATTCTATCGAAGTGATTATGTGGGTTCTTTTCATGATGGAAAACTATCTCTATTATCACGAATTACTGAACGTTATCAAATTCCAGTTGGTACATAGATACTTGACGATCATACGTTTGCTAATCGTCCTCCAGTTTTGACACTGTTTAGGTAGGTGAGCTCATTATTTTAAAGACAAAATTTTGATTTTTTTTTTCGATTGAAGAATGAATGAACTGCGTAATGCTAGAATATTAGCCTACCAACGAATGGCTTTCAGCAATCGAATAGCACATTACCGAGTGAATGTGTTACGCGTCCTAAAGAAACTATTTCAAGTTATGTGTGCAGTACATCGCCATCGAACCAAAGACCGAACTTTTTACAGTGGCTGCCTATGTTTTTGGCCCAGCTAATATCAGATTTAAAGACTTTCATACTAATGAAGATAATTTTTTTTTGCTGGTAGTTTCTGAAGTAGGGAACAGACAACTCTTGATATCGATTGGATTTTTCTTTTCGACAACGCAACAAAGTATTTTTTGCTTCGATTCTCGATTTTCTCTTAGTAACATCCTCAAATATGTGAAAAATTGACTTACCGATGAAAA